TGGCGGGTGCTGGTGCCAGGCGTGGTGCCCACCCAGGTGGAGGAGAGAAGAGTCGCGGTGGGGGGAGGCAGGGGGCTCGTTTCGACTCCAAACGAGCTGATAGCCAGGGCTGGGCTGGTCCCCACAGGCATGACGATGGTCGTTTCAGTGCAGTTGGGTGTCATGGCCATGGGAGTTGGAGTTGGGGTGCCAGGGGTGAGCTCCAGCCCTGTTGGGGTGGAGTCGGGCTGCACCGTGGTGCTGGCAGGGGACCCAGGGGTGCTGTGGGCTGTGCTGCCCCTCGCCTGTGGTGTGTGTCTGTGTGTTCTGGTGTGGTGGGAGGAGGCCCGGTGGGAGGTGAGGCACTGCCAGTTCCCGGGAATGTGCTGGACCTCTCCGGGGTGGAGGGTTCTGTTTCAGGGCTGGAGGGAGGGAGGGTGGCTGCGGTGGTGGAGTTGGTGGGCAGCGGTGCCATTAACTCAAAGGGTGTCGAGGAGGTAGGGAGAACTGGAGACACAGTGACTGTGGTCCCTGCAAAGAGGTTGGAGAATGAGGCACGCCAGGGCTAGTGGTGAAAGGCTGAGACCATGGCTGTGCATCGCCACCGGCACAAGCTCCCTGAGCTACGCATCAGCCATGGTAGTTCTGATTAGTTTTCAGAAGTCACCTTCTCTCTCCCAAGCATCTGCCATGAAAAATTATTTCTTTCTTTAGCTTCAGTTGTCACAATTTGATGATTCAACAGGAACAAGCCACGGGCATCACGGGTCTCAGGACAGAAACTCCTGTAGGCACCAGCAATAAGACCTGTTCCACCACCTTCACCGGTGGCTGGAGGAAGTCAGACAAACCCGTCCGACGGGAAGAGCCGTGCAGGAACTGGTGACCGTGAGACGGGATGGAACCGCAGCAGCAACAGTTTACACAAAGCTCTGTGCTGCAGATAGTCAGGAACTGATAGCGCCGGGAGTAAATAGTGGCAATGGGGGAACCAGCCCCACAGAGGGGGGCATAGAGGAAGAAATCCCAGGGTGCAGCTCAGGGGTGAGTCGTTAGAGGCGTGCAGCGACCCATGAAAGCTCTGCGGGGGGGTTGAGGGATGCAGGAGGGCCATCCTGTCTGCCCGCACAGACCCCGTGCTGGAGCAGACTGTTGTCCCTGGAGGAGCCTGGCCATCAGACTCGACACTGCTCTTGCTTTGTGTCAAGTGCTAACATCGGGACAGCATTTGCAGTTTTCCAGGCCCATGACATCCTGGTGATGCTGCCATCCAGGCAGGTCCATTTGGTGCTGCTGGGCAGGTCATAGCAAAGGTAATGAGCCCGGCAGGGGCCAAGGTTCAGCGAGGGGGTCCAGCTGGGCCAAGATCTCTGCCCAGCTGGAGACATACATAAGAGGCAAAAGAAATAAAGCCATGCTCATTGCTCCTGTGTTGCAAAGCGCAGCCCTGTTTGCTCGCTGGGATGGGGCTGAGATATCAGAGAGCAAACAGCACCCATAGTGTTTCACCTCTGTGGGTGAAGCCACCCCAGGGCCACCCAGCAACCCAGGGAGCGATGCTCCCCACTCCCCACCTGCCCCATGGGTAGCACCGCATCCCACTCAGCCCTTACCCAGTCTGAGCTCCAGCACGGCGAGGCTCAGCAGCAGCAGGGGCAAGAGCAACCTTCCTCTTTGCCCGGCCATATCCAGAGCCAGCACCCTTCCCCACTCACCGGCGTGGGGACAGATCCCTCCACCCGGGGATGCAGGGCAAGGGGATGGTGCCAGCGGGGAAATACGCTGCCGAGTGACGGCCGGAGCTG